TTTTTTTTTTCAGGCAACTGCAATCACACAGGAATCATGAGCATCGGCAAACCCACGGTGGTCCAGCTCAATGCTCATTTGAATGCAGGTTACCAGTATGGCGGCTGGGGAAAAGACTCCAAACCTGTTCGAGGCTATGAGTCAATGTACTTCTTTGGTGCATACGTCAATCCCTCAGTGCATGACTTCTATTTGTACTCTGACTATGAAAAGCTGATTCTGAGGTCTGCATTCAAGCACCATGACATACCAAGCGGGTGGGAAGGTACCGGTAACAATTACATTGTTCACGGCAACACCATATATTACCAGCACAACACACCTTTCAGTATGAGCAAGCTGAATCTGACCAGTTCCACATATGACTCTAGAGTGATCCCAGCTGCTAGTACGAGGTTCTCATACAGTTACTCAGATAACCAGAACATGGACTTTGCAGCCGATGAAAACGGCTTGTGGGTAATGTACGCCTCAGAGGAGAGCAAGGGTAAAATTGTCCTAGCAAAGATAGATGAGAAATCTTTTGGCATTGCAGATGAGTTGGAAACCGGTGTGTTCAAGCAGTTGGCTGGCAATGCTTTCATGGCCTGTGGAGTCATGTACGCCACTAGGTCAGTGGATTTGAACACAGAGGAGATCTATTATGCATTCGACACTAAGACCAAGGAGGAGAAACATCTCAACATTCGCTTCCAGAAGTTCCTGGAGAAATACACCAACCTGGACTACAACCCCACAGATCAGAAGCTCTACATGTACAACGATGGCTACTATGTGTCCTATAATGTGAGGTTTAACAGAGAATGATTCCTCCTCTTTGTGATCGACAGTATTGTGATTGATACGAATGATCTGTATTTACTCTCTGTGTCACCGGAGCTCTACAAAGCTATGTACTGTCTTTTTCTGAATAAAATCAAACTGAAGCATTCAAATGACGTGACTGGCCTTGACTTTTTGTGTATGAATGATACATATGATAAGAGAAATAAGTGTACGAAGAGTTCCAGAAAACCAAATGGAACAATTAACAAAGTGTAAATTACTGAAAGTACGATCCAGTGTGTTCAATCCATTATGGCACCAATGCAAGAAAATATATGGTATGAAAAAAGAATTTAAAAAATCACCTGGTACTTTTTGGCTTCAGATTAGTCAGGTCCAGCTATAGGAAAGGTAAATGCTATTAATAATCATTGTATCTGCAGCCTTTAATAGTGCAGACACACTAATGTTTTGGCACTGCTGGAGCCTGAGGTTACAGAAACAAGACAAATACATACTGTATAGTATATAATCTAAAATAGGTGTATATTTGCCATTCGATAGTAGCTTAAAAAGGATTGACTAATGAGCCTGCACCTTATAATTACAACAGAATCAAAGGAACATATATGATGAAGTACAAAAGGTGCAAGTACAGCAGCACACAGGGATAAACAATTTTCATGTCTTTCAGTGTGAAGATCAAAATGAACTAAATTTACAGGTACTGTTCTCTGCTGCTTGTAATTGAGTTTACATACAACTTGAAAAAAAACGCTCCTGTGCTTTTCCACACATTAATATGAGCAGCATGATTCAAGAATAGGTTGCTTTGTTAGACTCGTATTCAATTTTCAGTTTTTCTCCAGGGTATAATGAAAGCTTAAGATTAATATTGAACCAATTACCCTTTAGCCCCAGCTAATGAAAACACAAGTTGACTGGAGAGACAAATCAAATATCACCACTAGCGAACATTACAGCTGTTTTCCTCTTTTGTTCCTGAGTTGAAGTAAATTAATTTAAGAAACTGTCAACAGTTTGTAAGCTTAGTGTCTTCTCAGGCCACAGTTTGGCTCTCAGCATCATAAAAGTGGGTCGACTTTATTCTTATGTTTGTGCCGTATAGGAGATAAATGCGTGTCGATAAATAAATAAAATAAAATATCCCCCTTTCACTTAAAAATACTTTCTTACATATGCCAAATCGTTTCCTTGTCATATCAGATGATTTGGAGACTCTTCACTGTTCACTGCACATATTTTCTATTAAATTAAATAAAAAATTAAAAGTTACCTTATTTTTTCAGGTTCAGGTTCATCTGTATAAGGCACAGTTACTATTTTCATGCAGAAGTTTTGGCAATGTCTAAATAAACTAAAACCTGTACGAGGTAACAACGCAATGAGAAATAAAAATGTACCAATCCCAGCACAGTGTGTACAATATGCACATCTGCACTGATCTCAAGGATGCTATAAAAACCGTGACTATGGAATCACGTCACATGGCTGAAGAAGAAGTGTAAAACCCACAGTTAACAGAGGACATCAGATGAGACAGTAATCAGACAAACCAACAGCAGAGACATAATGCCTCTGACTCTGCTGCTTTTCTTTCCCATGCTGAGCCCTGCACTGGCATGGCTTGTAAGTTCTAAATATTTTCATTGTCCTTCAGTAAATTGTATTGTATGTAATATCTGGGTAAAATAACTCTTTTTCTATTCTCTTGCAGCCAGTGGAGGATTGGGAATCAGGAAATGTAACCACATCTGGTGGAGGACTGGAGTGTGTTTGCAGTGTGTTCCTGCCTGACAGCAGCTTCCCTGCCAACCCAGTGCAACACATGCAGCAAGTTACCACAGACCTGAGGCTGGAGGTGCAAATTCAGATAAACAAGGTCAGTATGAAACACAGTATCCTCTCTGTTTTTTTTTAAAACCATTGGAATAGATTTAGAAATCTATAATGACTTTAATAGTTCAATAATGCAACATAAACAGTTTGTCATTACTACTATCTGAGAGTGAAATAGACATGACTTGACGGGATTTCTTTTAGGCATTGATAATTCAATAATAATTCCTACTAACACAGAATATTGAACTATAAAATTGGGCAAATATTTGACGCTTAGAATCATTACTAACAGACTTCCAGCAACCACGTCCATTTTTATGGACAAATTGAAGTATAAGCAAATACTGTAAATACTGTACAATGTACACCATCCATCCTATCCATCACAGATGCACCTGATGCGCAACATTTGTGTACAAAGTCATTTATACTACTCATATTAATTCCACCTTTATTTGCTCTTCCATGATCTCTTGTTTGAGGCTTTACTCTACAGCACAGAACCAACCAGAGCATAATCCTATATGTGTTACCTGTATTTATAATACTTGTCTAGAGGATTTTTGTATGTATTTGTATGTTCAAAGTTAACTGCCTGCACACACTGTAGTTACTGTGTGTTTCTGTTGGCTTATCTTATTAGTTTTGTTGTCTTATTTGGGTGTCTGTATATTAAGTCAAGTTCCTTTTATGTCTTTCAGCTTGTCCACTATGAGGGCAAACTGGATATCTTCCTTGCAGAACTGAAGGACCTGACTGTTAGAGTGGCCATGCTGGAGAGCAGTCCT